ACACCATAAAATCCTAAGTTTCGAAAAAAAAGGGGTAAGCCGATAACAACATCACCAACGAATTGATAACGACATCATAAAATCATAAATTTTAGAATAACGATGAATCGATAACGACATCGTCAACAAATAGATAAAGAAATCATAAAATTATAAGTTTTGAAAAACAACAAATTGATAATAGCACCGCCAATAAACTAATAACGATATGGTAAAGTCATAAGTTTTGAAAAAATAACAAATTGATAACAACATCATTGACAACCTAGTAACGACATCACAAAATAATAAGTTCATAAATTATGATAAAAGTGCTTAAAAATATAGATTCAAAACAATCAATCGAGTTTGATCATAAATTCAAATATCACATTTAGGCAAGTTCAATGCATATATCAATCAATTAATTTATTTGCAACACACCAAGATTGATATTTATCTCGAACAATCCATGAAAATTAAAACCTAATCTCATACTCCCAACTCTATCACAGAATATTGATTCCATCTTTATTTCACCTCAAATTCCTCAAAGGTCTTAGACCTTCAAGTTCGATACACAACGATATATCTTGGCACTTATCAAACCTAATCACAACACAATCAAAGTCACATATTCACATCACATCATAATTAATTAAAAATATTCTACAAATTACATGACTTAATATTTGGTAATTTAGGGAATTTACCTAGAAATAAAAAATTAGTTAAAAAGATCGTGATGAACTCCTAAAATGATCACTACGAAAGGGGTCCGAAATGATGAGAATCCCCTTTTAAGGTTAGATTTAATTTGTAATTTTAGTCAATTGAAGGAGAAACATGACTCGTCCATTAAGTGAACTTAGTTCTCCACTCTTTTGCTTCCATCTAAGAACTTTTTTGAAGCAAAAATCAAGAAAAAAAGATCTAAACTACTTATAAGCCTCGCTTTCAAGTAGGGTAACGTGATTTATGACTTGTTTTTGCTCGGTTTTTTTAACCGATAATGATAGTGGAAATGATCAAATTTTAATAGCTATTTAGCAAGTGGCTATGAAGGTACATGGATGTTGGCATTCAACAATGGTGAAAAAGTTTATAAGGCTATTTAGTAGTGGCTAGATGGGGGTTTGTGGTGGCGGTTAAAGGTTTGGTGATGGCTTGGGCACTTTAGGGTTTGGGGCATTGAAGGTAGTAGAGTTTAATCGGGTTTCTAAACGGTGGTTAGGGTTTCGATAAGGATGGTTGACGATAGTAAGGGTTGGTCAAGTTTTAAGAGGCGACATTGGGTGTTAGTCAATGGAAGAGAGGTTAATGGGAGATAAAGTCTATTGGTTTGGCATGAAAAGGTGTTTGGAAGTTTTGGGGTGGTTGTTTGGTGGATAAAAATGGTTTGGAGTTTCAATTTTTATGGTTATTGTGGCGGCTAGTTGAGAAGAGGGTTGATTGTGGTGGTGATATGAGACAGGTGATGGCCGTAAGAGTTTTTGAGCTACTACAAGTGATGGTTGGTTTAGAGAGAGATAGAGAGAGAGAAAGAAAAGATGATAGTAGGGGTGGCTAGCAATGGGTAGGTCACCTGGCGATGTAAAGGACGATGACGATGGTGGTTGATAATGGGTTTAGAGGTTGGCGATGAGTGTGAGAGAGAAGGATTTTTTTTTCTTTTTATAGGGAACGATCTCTCTAGTCTTTGAGAAAACAAGAAAAAAAGCTTTTTGTGGAGAATTTAGGGTTTTGGTTAAAGTTCACCTTGGTCTTCATTCTCTTTGCCTTTTCTATTTTAATCTTTCGTTTTTTCATTTCCTTTCAATTATGCCCTTAATTGAACTCATTTTGGTCCATTTTCCTTTTTTCTTTCTTAATTTATCCTAAATCCACTCTCAATTTAATCCTTGATTTTTTATTCCTTCATATTAAACCCTCAATTGGATTTTTTTATACTCTTTTTTTTTTCAATTGGCACCCGTTCGTATTTATGTTCTCTCTTTTGTTTTCTTAATTTTTTTGCATTGGTTATTTTTCTCTCTCATTTTTCTTTTGCACTCAATGAATTTTTTGAAACTCATGAAAAATACTAGAATTCATGAAAGCTTGTAAAAATGCCTAAATTTTGAAAATTTTGAAAATTTTTGAAAAATTATATTGATCGAATAAAATATTTATTTTTGCTAGTTTTGGAAAATTTGTAAAAATTAGAGGGTCAAAATTGAGTGCTCGACACATAACATGGTTTTGCTAGTTTTCAATTGTATTTTTATTTCTAGGTGACATGAAATAATTATTGAGAAAAATAGAATGTTTATTTTCACTTTTTTTTGAGCCAGTCTAGTCCTTAGTTCATTAAATAAAATCTTTATTAGTGACTTTGTTTTTGTTCTTGTTAATTAGACAATCAATTTTATATTTTATCATAGATAAATATTTCCCTCTTATTTAGCATAAATAAATAAGTACTATAGTTGATCATTCAGCAGGTATTGCTACATACATACATAATTCACATGGGTCAAAATTAAGCATTTATAAATTATTTTCTCTCTTATTTTTAAAGGGAGTTTTGGATAATTTTTATTGTCCTTTCATAATTGCTTGCATATCATATCTTGCATTATTTACCTATATGAAGCCGCCACATGAAATGTATTGGGATTCAACATTATTTCAATGAGTCTCCTATGTAGGAATCGACTTTGACATAATGAAATTCTACAATTAGTTTGAAGTAGATTAGTATAAAAGATTAAGTATTTTTTTCATTTTCGCGTTCAATCATATTTATTATTCACACCTTTTGCATTTAACATATACTGACTTGTCATTGTTCCTCATTTGAAATTCGTATTAGGACTTCAAATGGATCCAACACTAAATTAATGATTTGTGATTTTAAAGCTAGATGGCAATTTAATAAAATTTTATAATAAATGTTAATTAATTTAGCATGTTAATATTACATTTTATTTAGTCATGTTTTTTAATTGGTGCATTATGCCTTATACTTGTGTTAGTTTGCAATACCTATCTAGCATCTTTTTCTCATATACTATTGTATTGAAAAATAATTGGATCTGATATTAAATTGAATAAACTTCTAATTTTAGAGTTTGACAATAATTTAATGAGTTTTGATAATAAATTTTAATTTAACATATTAAAAATAACATCTCGGATAATATGATGAATTAATCTTCCTCGGTTAATTTTAAATTCACATCGATCTAACTTATTATTTTGATAATATAAACTCGCAAGTAGATTTAGAAAATAATTTAGTAAATAATGATTTATATAAAATGAGTTAGGAATAGAAATAAGTAAAATAACATTCTTAGGATATAATGTTTTTAGGTGATTATAACCTTTCCTTAAATATAATCAACTCCTTACACATTTTTTTTTAGAACCAATGCAATTTTAACAACTCTATTTTTTTTTTTTTAGTTCAAAAGTCCCATGTATAAGTAGCAACAACACTACAGCACCGAAAAACATTCTACCCTTGTCCTCTTCTATTTCAAATCTAAAAAATAACTTTGGTCCCTACTTTTATCATTAAAAGAGACACATGAGAGAGAGACCATCTTAGCTGCAATTTTTTCCTCTCTCTTTTTCCTAGGCAGGCTATAATTAGAGGTGAAAAACCATCATATTTCATATTGTGACCTACAGTCACTTTTGGAGATATGCCTGCCATCTTGTAAGCTGGATCGAACTCTCGACCAATTTTGAGAGTTGTTTGTGTGGTTTATATATATCTTTTTGGATGACTAATCATAGCGATATCATATAATTTTTCATTATTCTTGCTCTTCCATAAGAATATTCAAAGTTTCTTCTTATGCAAAAGACCTGTGATTTTATTTATATATTTAATTTTTGAGTGAGCAAATTGTTAGAATGTAAGTGGCACTAAGATTTTGGAAGAGAAATTAAGAGTTTTAGTGCTTGGGTTTCGATCGTGTGCTCGTACAAAAGATTGTGAGAGCTGTGATCCTGAGCTTGTGAAAAAGAGGAAAAAGAATTAAGTAGAAAATTTTGTTTAGACCAACCTGTTTCACCTCTTCTCTTCAGTGCTTCGGCTTGAAATTAATTTACGCCCATTGTTAAACTCTCTTCATAAACAAGACAAGATGAACTTTTACTTTGATAAACTTATTCAAGTTTATAAGCCGGTTCAAGAGACTTGTTGTGATGTCACATATCCTAGATCGATGGGTTATAAAGAATTTTAATTAGATAAAAAGTAAAAAGAATGACCAATGAAAATTTTCTTCTAAATAATGAGAACAAATAAGTCAAAACTCTTTCTCGAAACTTAGGGGTATGTCCAGCAACAATAGATGGTAAGAAAGAAAAAACAGAAGAGAAGAAAAATTAAGGCCTCAAGCAAAATACATTAAATTCTGCTTAGGGATGGCGATGGGGTGAGGCGGGGATGGCCATCCCCATCCTCGTCTCGTCCAAAAAAATGTTTATCCTATCCTCGTCTCGTGCTTGATTCGAAACAAAATTTTAAATGACACGAGATGAGACGGGGTCTCGTCAAATTATCGTTTCTAAAAGTAGAATGATAAAGCAAAGGCGAGGATAGCGCCTTACCTTAAAAAATTTTATTCCATCCTCGTCTTATGTTTCGTTCGAGGTAAAACTTTGAATACCATTCTTGTCCCATACGGGATGGGGGCGGGGCTCCGACTCCGACTGGGACATTACAAATTGTTATCCTAATTCTGCAGGCAGGCACAAATGAACCATGAAGAAACCAGCAAGCCACGTGAAAACCACGTGCCAAAAAAAAAGGGGGAGAAGACCGAGCCAAAACGACAATATTTGGACAGTTAAACCGTCGTTTAGTGGCTTTTTCCAAGTCGGATTACCAGTCACTCTAACGCTAACAAAAACGATTTTGTAGCAGCAAACAAAAAATCATTTCCAGGGCAGGACAGGGCAGGGCAGGGTTTTCGCTTCAATCGAATCCTGTGGTAGTTGTTCAGAAATTTGGGTAAGGAATTATGAGTGGAAGAGTGAAAAAGGAAGTAGAAGAAACAGATTTGCCGTGTAATGAAGATAAACCGAAATCTGTCGAAGACGGAGACGTAATTCTCGCTCAATTAGCTTTCCCTCCTTCCTCCTCCTCGGTTTTTCTCTTTCTCTTTCTCTTCCTGTCTATCTATATCTGTTTGGTTTCTAAGGAAATTTCCAGAAAATAACATCACCTGACGCTTCAGATCTCGATTTTTTCTACCTGTTTTTCCTTTTTTTGAAAAATTACAAATTGTTTTATTTTATAGTAATTATTATTTTGAAATAGGTGATTAAGATGTGATTTGGTTGTTAAATGTTGGCAGGGTAAGCAGAAGAGTCCGATGGAGATGACAGCCAAGCGTCTTAAGATTAAGAGAAAATATTCTGATTCCAAACTTAAGTTTGTAAGATTTCTGCTTTCTTTCCTGTCGTTGTTAGCTTCTACTGTTTGTTGCTCAGGTATCTTGTGGTTTTATGTGAAGAATGTAATGTCTGACAAGCACAGGAGATAGAATATTTTGTAGGTTAGGTCGCGACATACACGATTACTCAAGATGAAACCATTCCTGTGAACAATCGAACATTTACTGTGTAGACAATTGGTAGTTTTTGCTGTTAGAATAAGTACATTGCTCAGACGCGTAGTTCTTTGCATCTAATTGTTTGTTTTGTGACAAGCTGCTTTCCCTAGTCTGATTTACTGGACATGGAGGTCAGCAAAATTGGGGACAGAGTTGTTGTCCTTTTTGTTTTCCATTTCCTTTATTCTCAGATGCAAGACATTAGCTAAAATTGGTGCTGTTATATGGCAACCTGTTTTAGGTAAAATCTTACCCGTCTAGTCATCTACCGAACTTGACTAAATCAACTAAGCCTCAGTTGCAGATTAATTGGACCCATGCATTTATCTATGCAACTGGGATTTTCTGCCTATATGATATAATTCAAGTGGAACCGACTTATGAAACTTTGTTTCTTGCCAATATCTTTTCTGAAATGCATGAGCTGGTTTTCCTTGTGTTTTTTTAACCTTTCCTGTGATATGTTTTAAGTCATTCTGATTTTGTCAGTCAAAATTAATCTAGATGCCTGTAGTTCTCTAGTACAAGGAGGATATAAAAGGCATTGCTCCTCAAGTTGTATGTGGGGCATTGATGGTCTTGAGCTTGCAATTACAAGAGTGCTGATTAGAGACTTGAGAGCTCTTAAAAATGCTTAAATGTAGCGCTGTCTGTAAACTTTTCCTCTTAGAGTATTTCGCTTCATTAGACCATAACTAGATAGTGATATAAGTTGGTCATTGAGTTGTATACTAACAGGAACTGTGATAAATTCTTGAACAGGTGATATCAGGTCATGCAGGGAAGTGTATCTGGTCAGTGAGGAATCCACTATGCCTTTTATGTATTTCAGTCTTAGCTGTTTGGCCTTTGAAAATCTAATTTGTGACCATTTTTTCTCTCTGCTTTTGCTGAAGCTGTAGGCAGAATAAGGCTCCGGTTGAAAGATCTAGTGCTGTTGGAGAAATTAAGTCATCTGCAATGACTCGGGCAGAAGAGGTTCAATCTAATCTAGAACCGGCATTCCCTAGCTTTTTGAAATGTTTGGTCAGATCACATGTTGCTAGTTGTTTTTGGATGGTAAGAGCAATGAAATTGAATGAGCTTGAGTTGGTTGATAACCTTACAAAGAAACAGAGTTTCATGTATGGCATGGATATTTTCTTATAACAGGGGCTTCCTGGACCATTCTGTAGAGCACACTTACCTCACGTGGATGCTACTGTGACTTTGCAAGATGAATGTGGGAAGGAATTCAAGATGAAATACATTGCATATAAGACAGGCTTGAGTGCTGGTTGGAGACAGTTCTGTGTTGCACACCAATTGTTTGAGGGGGATGTATTAGTCTTTCAATTAATCGAATCTTGCACATTTAAGGTGATGGTTTGAATTGATTACCATGTTCGTAAACTGACTTTTTCTTTCAGCACGTCTGATATGGTGTGTGTTTGGGGTGGAATGTAGAATGACATAGTGGCAAAAACGTAAAAATTACTTTGTTTACTTTGATCTGCATGACTCCTTGGGCTCATTAGTGTAGAAAATATTTTAGAACTTGCTGGAAACAATTCATTATCTGCCATTTGGTTGGTGGCTGAATGATTCATGTTTGGAAACTAGGAATTTTGTTTTTATTCTGTGGAATAAAAGCCGTTTCTTGAAATGTATCAACATCTGATCTAATTTGACAAGAGAGTACCAGGACAAATGACCAATAATCCTCGTGGGACTGGATCCTGAAGAACACAATACATGGGGCAAAATTAATTTCACTACTGTTTTCCTGGATTTATTTAGTGCATGTTTCATTATTTGCGGGTTATATGAAAAGTCTGAACTCACTTTTTTATTCGAAGTCCTACCTCTTGTGAACCCGAATGCACCTTTGAGAAACCTTTGGAGAATTAGTAACTTCTGTCAGAAATATAAGTTAACACTTGAAGTTGTTTTTAGCTGATAGCATAAGGTATTTTTAACTGACACAGCAACTACAAATTGAAGATGTCTAAGACCGTGTTTGGTTTCCTGCCCTGCCTACTGAGTTCTATTGAAGTAGGAACAGCTTTCCCTTGTTCTGTAAGGCCAAATTGTTAATTTCCCCCTTTGATAGATTTTGGCTATTAAATTGGTGCAAATCATGAAAGGACGTGTGATTCTTTTTACTGAAGCTTTACTATTTGAGTCACTGCTTCATAATAAGTATCTGATCCATTGGTGCAGGTGTACGTAATAAGGGCCAATGATTTGACCGAAGTTGATGGTGCTCTAGGTCTATTGAATTTGGATGCTCAAATTAAACAAAACATTGCAGGCAAGTTGGTTAATGTCTCTGTCTTGCAATTTTTGGTGTCCTGTGTATGTTAATTTCTTATATTTCCTTGTTGCTTCCGGCTGTAAAACTTGGTAAAAAAATATAATGCAGGAAGGGACATTGCTGGCTGTAAAAGTTCAAGGAGGAAGCGTCCCAGGTCTCTTCCACTAGCTATTGTCCAAAAGAAGAATAAGAAGTCTGGCCAACCGAGACCGTCAGAGCCACAAGCTGGCCAACCTGCTGAGCAATCTGAAAATGATAGTGAAGAGGTCGGTTCAGAAGTTCTAGAAGGTTTCAAGTTATCGTTACCTGCTGTTCAATTTAAAGACATCAAAAGCTTCGAGGATTTCAACATTCTGGTTGATGGGTTAGTTTTAGATTCGGAACTTCCAGAAGACATTCGTAGTAAGTACTACAAACTCTGCTGCAGTCAGAATGCATTTCTTCACGACAATCTTATCAAGGGAGTTAATCTTAAGCTGATTGCTGGGATCATTTCTGAAACTGTTAATATCGCTGATGCCATGAGAGCTTGTACTCTTACCACCTCACGAGATGAATTTGCTACCTGGGACAAAGCTTTGAAGGCTTCTGAGCTTTTTGGCATGGATGTTGGATTTTTACGTGCCAGGCTAAGTCGGCTTTTAAGCCTTGCCTTTGATTCAGATGGTGCCACAAAAACAAGGAGGTATATAGAAGCTAGATCCGAACGAGTACAAACAGAGGATGAGATAAGAAATCTGGAAGCAAAGCTTGTGGAGTTGAAGGAAGCCCATGAAAGACATGGTGCTGATGTTCAAAGGTTCAAGTCGAAAGCTGAAGGGTATGAACTCAAGTTCCAGGAAGAGGTTCTTGCTCCATGGTGATGTATTTGTCACCTATTATTATCAGTGCCTTTTCTTTTGTCTCCCTTGTGCTTTGTTTGGAGGAAGGACCTGATTGCTTGAGGTTAGTGGTTGGTAGCAATACTGTAAACAACGTTTATAACATGTACGCTTAAAATTTATTATGCAGACAATGCTGTGACTTTTAATGATGTTAGGAATTTTATATGAAGACAATGCCGCAACATTCTAGGACTTAGTATGTTGCAATTTCTAGGAAGTTGGTTCATGTATATTAAGCCGTCATGACCTTTCCTTTTGCATTTTTTTTTTAATGCTTTTTTGTTTGTTAAAAAAAAAAAAAGAAAAAAGAAAAAAGAAAAAAAGAGGAATCTGGTTGCTCTCTTGTAAAGATTTGCATTTAGGTCTCTACTTTCGTTGTAGAAGTTGGTTTATAGCTGATTGTTGGTCATCGGTCTTACTCTTGAGTGGAAAAGTCTGAGCATTTGTCTCTTCATTTTGCCTTTGCTGGTGACCGAAAGCAAGCAATAAGCAGGGCCTGAGCTTAAATAAGCAGCTGCCTGTTACCCTTTATGCTCCTCCTTTTTCCTTAGCTGGTGGCAGGAAGCAAGCAACAAGGATGGCCAAAGCATAGAAAGCTGCGGCTCCGTTGCTCACTATCTGCCCTTCATTTCATTATCTTCATTCTTCATCCTTCAATCAACTGGATGACATGAAGGCAATGCGGAAGTTTATCCAAAAATTTCCTTGAAGCATACAACCCTTCCCTAAATATGTGCCAATTACCTTTCACCATGTTTCGGAATTTTTTACCTTGAAATGTTGGTGCAGGCGCTTAAACTTGGTCAACCAGCGAAGTGTGTGACTAGACAATGACTCAAATGTGCTGATCTGGTATGACTTGTTGTATGTGTTGTTTCTATCCGAGCTAATATCTTGTTGGCATTGATTTATGCCTGTTATCGGTTATGCGTCAATTTAAGTAACGGCATACTTTGTCCAATAATCATTATACTCACCAAAAGTTGTTTAACTTAACTTGGAATGCGAAGAGCATTCTTGAACAATCTTGTTGCACTATATATATATATAGTCAGGAGGAAAGGAATAGTTTCATCGTGAAAGGCATAAAGAACACCACATAAAACAATTTATTGTTTTCATCAAATTGAATTTACATAGAGAAACCCAAAATTAAACTTTTTATTGGACTGTTGGTGCCTCTTCCTCCTTATTCATTTTTTTTTTTTTTTTTTTTGGACTCACAGAGAGACTCTTTGGATATCACATCACTTATAATAAGTCAATTACCGAAAAATAAATACTCAATACAATTTTTTTTTAGCAAATAGTACATAAACTTTTAGCATTACGTTTTAAAAGTTCATAAATAAGTAGTCAATTATTGACAAATCATTGTTTGACAATATAATAACTATTTTCAAAATCTAAGTTTGATCAAACTATATATTGAAAGTTCGTAAAAAAGGTAGTCAACGGATGAATACATATGTTTATGTAACTTGTATTATATAAATTTAATTGAGGAATTCTGTTTCTCTCAATCTCAATTAATTTATGACTTTATTCTCACAAATACCAACAGTTTTATTAATTAACTTTGTTAAATAATTTTGCCAAATTGAGGTTACATTTGGTATGCTATATACAAATTTATTTTTTTTTCAAATTTTTATTGAAAAAAAAACCTCATAAATATATTGGGTTAAAAATAGTACTTGACTTAAACCAAAAGTTTGTTATAAAATCAAGTAAAAAATTTTATATAATAAAAAATTATTAAAAAAAAAAAAAAAAACTTTTAACCTACAGATTCTAATCCACATTGCCTCCATTTAAAAAAAAGTATAAAATAAAATTGCTTCTAGTCATTTTAATACCGCGCGTACTTCCAATTCAACTCACATATGCCATAAGTTATTTATAAAAAATTTCTTTTGAATTACAATTGAAAATAAAAATTTATTTTCTATAAATTACTCTAAAAGTATTCTTAATCTATTATATAATTTCCTCAATATTTTTCTTATTAGAAGTTAAAAGGTTTACGTGCTTTTCTTTTTCTATTTTTTTTAAGCCATTTTAGCATGCATGCGCCTCCATATAAATGTAGCAATTATTCCACATCTAAATATAAAAACTTTTAAAAATAACCACAACTTGCTTTTTTAACAATGATTTTAATCTGGTTATTTGGGTTAAATTAATCTATGCCGATACTAATTAGATGCGCTTGATCGAATTGAGAGTTAGGTTACATATTGATGTTTAAGCATAATCAAGAGGTCCAAAACTGGAAATTTTGGTTTTCTTCTATCTGTCCTTCATTTTTCTTTTCTCAATTTGGACAATTCTATTTTGTGGGTACTAGAGAAAAAGAAAATGAAAAAAAAAACTATTTAATTTAACTGAAACATGACTAAAATTAAATTTATTGTTTTTGTAATACATCCTTACAACAAAAGTAAAATTTTTTAAAAGAATAAATAAAAAAATAAAAAATAAAGTATAAGTACTCTTCCGAAACCGAGATAGTATTAGAACCATATATAGCTTTTAAAATCTGGATACAAATTAGGCAAAGATCACAAGTCATTGGAACCTGTTAAATTGCTTTAGTAAATAATTGAACGAAAGGTCAATAGAATAAAATAAAAGTTTGATTGAAAATAATTTTTGACTTAAATCAAAAGTTTGTTAGAAAGTACAGTCAAATTTTAGTTTTAATGAAAATTTAATTTTTTTAACTTTTAATTTTTGTGTTCTAACTTATACTACGTCTTTTCTTCAAAAAAAGTTGATTTCATTCTTTGTTTACCAAACATATTTCTAATTTAAAGTCATTTAACTCATTTTTGTCACAAGTTATTTATGAAAAAACAACGATGACTCAAAATCACTTTTTTTTTAAGGCTACGTTTGGTATGACTTGGAGATTGATTTAAGTAGTTTTTTTAACTTTTGAAACAAAGAAAGTGATAAATATGTTTGGTTTGAAATAACCGTTGCACCAAGGATTCAATTAATTTTTTTTTTAATATATCAAACTATTAATATTAAGTTATTGATGATTTGTCTTGAGAATGTGTTTATAGGCTTATGATCAAATCCAAGGCATGAGAAACATTATATCTTGATGTGCTTGAAAAATATATTTTGGACAAGATAATTATCAAAATGGACTACATACTTCAAGAAAAATTTATTTATGTTATATAAGTCTATTTTTGGATAAAATGTGATCTTGAATATATATTGTGATTGAATGCTTGATTTGTCAAAATGAGTTAGCTTAAGTTTGATCTCGACCTTGGATGTAGGATGCAATGATCTTTTCAATAGTTTTGAAATTCTATTTTGAGATATTCACCATCACTATCTCTATGAAATATTTTAATTTTTTACCATTGCAATTTTTCAATAAAGTGATGAATTAAGGTACTAAAATGAGAAAATACTTCAAATTTATTACGTATTGGAAAGATTTAACTAAATCGAGTACAATCATAAATGAAAATAACAAAATATTTATAGTGTGTTATAACCCAAAAATTGGGGTTAAATTTTTATTTTATTTTATTTTATTATTATTATTATTTATTAATTAAAAAATTCAAAATAAAATAAAATAAAATAAATGATAAATGATAAAAAAAAAGAGAGAGAGAAATTGATCAATTTTACTTTTAAGGATTTAATTGTGATTTTATTTAAAACTATTATGGGTCAATTTATAAATACTAGAAAGGTAGGGAAACTATGGATGGAAATTAAGGGAGAATTAAAAACAATTGAAACTTAAGGGACTAAAATAATTATCGAAAAGAGCTTAATCACAAAAAAATCAAAATGAAGGAGGACCTAATTAAAATGAGGGAGCGAACGACAGGACGAACTTGACACTTTGACCTTGGACGACCTGTCATTCACCCTTGAATTCTTTGGTACTTTTTACGGTTTATCTCCTTCTTTAAAGAAGGAGATAAACACGAGCATTGGCAGTTTGTTACAACTGTAACAAACTGCCATTCTCCACTCCTCACACGTTTTTTCTTCTTTTTCTTTTTTTTTCTTTTACTTTTTCTCTCCACTCCACCCTCGCATGTCTCTATTCCTCTCCACTCTTCACCACTTACCCATTCCTGGCGATCAACACCTTCCCCCACAAACTCCCTCAACTTCTACTCCACTTTCTCACTATTCCACTCTCTACAAAACATTACCAAGACCACAGTCTCCATTCCTCACAACTCCTGCACCCACGACCTCTACTCTCCACTCCCCATGACCTCCACACTTCACTCCCCCTCATCGTTCCCCTTACAAACTGTCATACCACTCTTCACAACCATGCTAAGCTTATAAATAGGCAATAGCTAGAAGGAAAGAGGGCCCGAAAAGAAGGAGGAAAGACAGAGAGAGAACGAAAGAGGGAAAGCATAGAGAAGAGAGATCAGTAAAGAAAAAAAGAGACCTAGAGGAAATAGAGAGAGAGAGAGAAAGAGGAGAGCACGAAAAAAAAGGAGCAAGAAACAAATAAAAGAAAACAGGCTTAAAAAAAAAGAAGGCATTTTTTCGGGTTCTGTAACTAGCTATCTGTTCCATTTCGTTTTCAACATCTCATTCTCTTGTAGACTCAATAGGTAGCTCTATAACCTTTTCTTCTACTTTGACATATCAATGTCTTAAATTTGTTGAAAGTCATTGTCATCGTATGATATGTAAAAATTATAACAAGCTACTCTTGGTTTTGGTTAATAAAGCATGAAGATTAATGTAGTAACCAAAGGGAGCAGGGTGATACTTAGTTGCTTGCTTTGGGGATGAATTTTAGCTGGTCAGGTTGAAAAAAAAACGAATGATAAGAGCAGTAGAAATTCTTGATAAAAAAAAGAAAGCAAAAAAGAATTTAGTTCTTGTTTGTGGGCTTTTTTTTCGCCCAAAGAAATACTGACCCATTTAGTTTTAGTTCGGCTTAGTCTGAAATAATGGGTCTAACC